ACTTTGAGCATGTTTTCTTATGTCTCTTGTCCTTCCTTATGTCCTGTTTTGAAAAGTTTCTATTTAGGTTCATTGCCCATTATTTTAATTGTGTTGTTTATGAGGGCTTTTTTTTTTTTTTTTTTTTTCTCAAAAGGTTAGTGATAATTTTTTCCTATTTTCGTGCCTGACTCCCACGTCTTTCACTCCCACCTTGGGCAGGTTTAGAAATTCCATTCTTTGGATCTCAAAGCTGCTTGATACAGTCATCTTATCATATGCATCACCTTCTGCTTGTTTTTATCTGGTTATCTTCCACACTAAGCTACGAGCATCTTCGGTTAGGAACTGATTCATCACCTTTATAACTCAGCGTCTGTGGCATGCCTTGTACATAAGTAGATGCTCTGTAAATGCTTGATTGAATATAGAAAGTTAGAGATGTGTATGGCTTGATTGGGGGAGGATGATAATTGGTAGCTGGGTGCAGATTTTTTAACATTACTTTGAGATTTGTAGTTTTTTTCCCACTTAATTCCTACAAGCATTGGCTTTCTGTGTTCATGATGTTTCTCGTGGAAGTGAGTCCACTGTGGGTATTTTCTAAAGACTTGTGATTTGTTTGGCTCTGCATTGTGGAGGATTACCACATTACCACATTCAAGGATTACCAAGATTGAGACATGGTCTCCATCCTCAAAAATGCATAATAGAAATGGGGATGTAAAACCATGCCAGGAAACTACAGATGACAGTGAAATGTGAACTTGATTTCTGCTTACAGTTGTGAGAAAAGGAGAGAAGAGGCAGGGAAGGTGGTGTGCAGGCGCTTGGTGGAGAGGGTGGGAATTAACCTGGACGTCATGAGGGTCATTTTCTCTTCTCCACAGTGTTAGTTCGGCTTCTAGGGAGTTTCTTATCTTGGAGTCTGTTCATAAGGAAAGCCAGTCGGCACCATTTGTGTTTACTTACTTGGAACAACTTGACTGCTCAAGTTGTTCCAGTGGACAGATTACTCTGTCCATGGAAGCCTGCTAAAGTGCAACACCTAAGAAGTTGTGTGACACTCAAACGAAATGTAGAAAATGATGAAAGTATCTGACTTTAATTCTCACGTACGCATTAGCTTCACAGGAGTTAAAATCTTCATTCCAGAAATCATTGAACATAGAATTTGTGTTTTTTTTTTTAAATTGTATTCTTTTCATACAAGGTAAAAAGTAGTGATTTGGTTTTGGGGAACTAGAGTTTCACACATCGCAGGAGTATTTACTGTTGACGTGCGTGGTGTTGGTGTTCCCTGAGTTCCATGATTCTCAGGTAAATAAGCTCATTCCTGAATAGTGAAGGCAAAAGGAATTACGTGCCCTTTGTTGCCCTCGGGAAGAAGGGTGAGGTATCCTTTGTTTGATCAGTTTGTGTAAACATATTCCCCTCTATCAACCAATACTGTTTTCACCTGGGGGTTCAGATCGCCCCTGTATGGCCTAAGGAAGAGAGAAATTCTAATAGAATGGGATATAACCCATTGAATGTCAGTTTATGCTGTGTCCATTGGCTTGGGGAGAGGACTGGGGGCAGTGTGGAGGAGCTGGGGTATCTGTTTGTAAACACAGTTCAGGTGTCTTTTGAAAGTAACCTTAGACCTTGGCTCTCCAGGTCCCCACAGTTACTTCTCATTGACAGGTTTCTCCCTGTGGGAGTGATTCAGGGAGTAAGCTGGTCCCAGGCCCTTGTTTGCTACGTTTGCTCTGTCATGCCCTGCAGTCAGGGAATGGGGCCCAGAGAGCCAAGGGCTGACATCCAGCCTCCTGAGCCAGCAAGCTGTGTGTGTGTCTGACTCATGTTAAGGTTATCCTGTCTGCTTCAGAGCTGAACCTATTTTGCTACTTCTACCAGGCCCTGAAGTGGGAGCTGTTGTGCAGGTAGATGTTCAGGAGTTTCTTGTAGGGCCCATGCTGAGCTTCTCTTTGAAATGTTCTTAATTTTTAAGACAGCCCTTACTCATGATGAGGAACACAGGTGAGTGGGAAGCAGCCTGACAGTCCTAGGCTCATTTGCAGAGAAGAGCTAGATGGACTTGAGCTATCCAGGCACGAGGGAAAAAGTAGCATGTGTTTCCAGGGGGTGAGGGATGAGGGAGATGTGTCCCAGAACAAAAGTGAGTCAAAAGGAAGTCATAGTGTCTTCATTGGGTTTCAGTTCTTTTGTCCTGAACTTGGCCCCTCTGTGTGGGGTGGAATGACTGATTTTCTAGACACCTTTGTAGTGAAGGGCCATAGAAAAGTGACTTCACTGAATGAGGAATCATGCCATAGACTGTGTTGCACATTGGTGAATGGGGACAGAGTGAGGCTTTACGGGGTGGCACAGACCAGGAAGAAGACCTGATCACAGACATTAGGTCATCTCATGCCCCACCACGTCTCACACCTTCCCTGACAGCACACTCATGAAAGAAAAGACTCAGAAAATGCTTTCTTCCCAGAGCCTTCTGCACTGGGTATCTTCTAGGTATCTTCCCATAACTGTCCCCATAAAGAATCCCTCCTTCCATCCTTCACCATCATCTCTAAAGCCCCCACGCAGAAGGGCCAAGTTTAAACCCAACGATAGGCCTCTGTGACTTCCTTTTGATTTATTTTTGTTCTGGGATGCAGTCCACTAGAAAACACAGGCTACTTCTTCCCTGGTGCCTGGATAACTCAAGCCCATCTCTCTGCAAGTTAAGTTTTTGAAATTGACACTTATCTTCATCCAAGAATGCTTGTAATTATTGGTCTCAAACTTTTTCAGTTGACCTGGATGTTCTTTGTCTTTCACATCGACATCATTACTTTTAAAGTGTTTAAACCAGCATTCACAAGTATCTTGAGATGGAGCATGTTCACTATAAGCTTCCCAAAATACTCAGCAGCACTTTTCTTTAAAATAAAGAAATGAATTAAAACTTCCCACAAATGCTCTTTTTTTTTGGCACGAAATTCGACATATTTAAGTGTAAAAATATCTATGATGTTAACACCTTCAGCAAATTAGACATATGAAGTTTTGAGGCTTGTCAATACAACAAAATATCGTACATATTAAACTGCATGTATATCAACACCAGACGCCTAGTGCACAAAATTCCTGCAGGGGGGTGTACCTCAGCCTGACTTGTACCCTGTCCAATCCAGGAGCCCTTAGGGGATGTCTTACTGATGGCTTAGGCTGCTCCCCCTGGTTCTCTGCTCTCTGCGGGGCCTGCCTGCTCCACACTGCAGTGACTGCCAAGCAGGCTGTGCTGTGTGCTGCCTGCAGGCCAACGTTGCCTGCTCCCAGGTTGCCATGGTGATGGCCAAGCAGGCCAGGCTGGGAGCTGCCTCTTTCCTGCTGTCAGTATTCACAGAGGCATTGGGATTAATTTGCATACTCACTCCTGATTGGCTGGTGGGCATTGTGAAGTGAAGGTCAATTTGCATATTTCTTTTTTATTAGTGTAGATATGTGTAACTCCATCTATTGGGAAAAAAAATCTGCCTTATTAACAGTATACCTGTTAAGAATAATTTCCTATAGTCAATTTTCAAGATTAGCATCTTGGGGTCTAGCTTAATTAGATTTCAGTGTTTCTCATGTGCTTTCCTGTTCCTAGAAGTGAAAGCTGTCTGAGATGGCTTTCTGAGAGCAAGTTCCTTGCTGCTCCTGACATTCCTGCATGCTCTGTTTAGAAGATTTAGGGCTGAGGAGAAATGTAAGGTTTGATCGCCAAAAGCTCTTTGTGCCTGATGGTGTGGACTCTCACTTTATGTATTAATCTGCTTTCATGTTGCACTTTGTTGGCCAGCTATTGAGACCCATAATCTATAAAACAAATGCGAAATCAGGGCCAACTCAATAGAATGCTGTTACCTCTACGAGGCAGTAGAATAGTTACATAGTATTTAGGGGAGTGTCAGTTTGGATGAGGGGGTTTCAAGCCCTGATGGGTGCTGTTCATGTGTGTCTGTAGCAGCTGGGATACTGTGACAGCAAGAAGACCAGTTGAGGGAAACCATGGCTGTTGGGGGCCTCCCTTTTCCATCTTCTGTATTTTCTACCAAACTGCATACAAATGATGCTAAACATATTCCATAAAGTGGTCCTTTGTGAATGAATGAATCATGCAACCCATTTTTGAAGTGCCTTTTAATTCTGGTTTGATGTCATCTTCTGGAGTTACTGCCCTAGGCTTGATTCTTGTGTCACATCCTCCCTAATGTTCACAGGGAAATGGAATTTCTCTGTATCTGGGATTTTAATAAGTTGGGCTTTTAAATTATAATCTAGCTCAGAAGACAACGTCCCTTAATTTATTTTTTAATTTATTAAGTGCTAAGTGGTGACTGGCAATGTCTTAAAGAACCATCAGGTGCCCTGGCAGGTGTGGCTCAGTTGAGAAATGCCCTGTGCATCCAAAGGTCGCCGGTTCAATTCCCAGTCAGGGTACATGCCCAGGTTGCCGGTTCAGTTCCTGGTTGGGGTGTATACTGGAGGCAGTCAATTGCTGTTTCTCTCTTATATCTATGTTTCTTTATCTCTATCTCTACAAAAAAAAATAATTAAAAACATATTTTTTAAAAAAAGAACTATCAGGTGACTAGGAAGTGAGAGGTTGGACCTTGTGGGGCTGGTGTGCTGCTCTGACTTGTTTTTGTAATTTATAACAGTGCTCCTTAAAGATTAGGAGGTCACTGTGGTCGCTACTAAGGCTTTCATCTTCCATTTGATCTGATTTTGATCATTGTATGTTCTCCTGGGGAAAACAGTCCTCACTTATTATCTGTGATGTATTTTAAGCATCTTTGATTGAAAAAACACTGACAAAATCTTTAAAGTCAGGACACCCAGTACTCTCAAGCTGCTTTGTAAATGTAATTTTGGATATAATTTGATTGGCTAATCAGGTGATATGGTATAATTATTAGTGGAGTTGGTTTTTTCTCCCTCCCCCGAGTATTCCTTTGAAAGTTGATGCCTCATTTTTTTCTCCTCCACAGGGGACAGCCCTAACCCTTCAAAGGAGGACACGCCCACCAGCAGTCTGGACTCACTTTCCTCCCCGTCTCCCACGACGGCCACTGTCCAGGGGCTCCCTGGGCCAGACAGAAACCACCTAGTCGCTGACGGGGACTGGGCATCCACTGCGTAAGTTTCACTGTGCTTATTTGGTGTGATTTTTTTCTTTTAATCTTTATTATTGAAAGTAGTACATATGCCCTCCTTTTCCCTGTTTGACCTTTTGGTGCAATTTGTTTAGAAGCTTCCATGGCCAGTGGGTACTGAAGCTGTTAGATCTGAGAATCTTTGTTCTCTTGTCAGTGGGGCTGTCAAAAGGAGAAAGGTCTCTACAAAAGGCCTTTCCTGAGCAGCGTCTGTGTTCCTGGTTTGGGAGGGGTGGGTTGGGAAGGGGTGGGTAGGGAAGGGGTGGGTATGGGAAGGGTGGGTATAGGAAGGGTGGGTATGAGAAGAATGGATATGAGAGGAGTGGGTATGGGAAGGGTGGATGGGTGCTGTTTCCCATCTCTTTCAAGTTCAGCTCATGTCAGTTTTGGGTTGCACTAAGGAACTTTGTCATTGTCCTCCTCAGGATGCATTTCCACTGGTTATGCAAACTTCTGCAGACATGAGAATGCGTGGATTGTGATCGATAGGCTGTTGAAGCTTTCGGTAGAAGGATATTTTAGTTGTGTGGATTTTTGAGGGCTTTATAGCCAGCATTCTGCTCTCTTGACTCCACTGTACCCTGTATAATTGACAGTTGATGGATGGAGTATCTGATTTTATCTTCTCAGTTTGGTTTCATGCCAGACATGTACAATGTACAGGTCAGCTCAGGGGTATTAAGACAACCAACACTAATACAAACATACTTCCTTGGACCTGGTTTGGTTACGTGAAGGTCTGTCTTTCTGTGCTTACCAGGCTGTGGGATTAATGCGGATTGCTGGTGTGGAGGGTCATCAAAAGAGCATCAAATTTCAAACAAATTCTCAGAAAGATAAAAAGGGACTACACTAATTATTCTATGGCCTTACTTGAATGTTCAATCAAATTGCACCCAAAATTCATTTTATAATTCAGCCTGAGAGTATTTGGGTATCCTGTGTTTAAAGTTTAAAAACCCCCAAAACTTTTAGCGGTGGCTGGGTGGCTCAGCTAACTGGGGCATCATCCCACACACCGGAAGGTTTTTGGTTGGATTCTTGGTCAGGACATATACCGGGGTTTCAAGTTCAGTCCCCAGTTGGGAGGAGCCATACACTGTTTCTCTCTCACATCAATGTTTATCTCTCACCCCCATCCTCCACCCCCATCTCTCTCTTGAATCAGTGGACATGTCCTCAAGTAAGGATAAAAAGTAAATTAATAAATAATAAAGGCTGCTTAAAATAACTCGGAGATAATGATGTCATTCAACCCTAGGTGGGCATTCTTGGGACTTTAAATGGAATTGGAAAGTGTGTGTCACATTACATGGCTTTTTATTCATGACTCCTGGATTCACATGAAATCATTAGGAACTTATTATGTATTAAAAGGGGCTGGTATGCTAAAATTTGGGGTGATCTGAAGACTTTGAAAATCTAACCGAAAAGCAAAGTGAAACTCAAAATAGGAATCACAGTCTCCGCCCCCCCCCCCCAAAAAAAAATCAGCATCTATGCATGCTGAAGACTGCATGTTGTGAGTTTAAATTAGATGTTACTCAAACATGCTGTTCATTTTTACTATCATTTTTCCTGAATGAATATATCCTTTTCTCTTTAGCAATCCTAGCACCAGTGACAGTGGGTACATAGGAACCTGGGATCTGTCATCCTGGGCACTCCCGGGTGGAATTCGGTACACATGAGCATGTTTAAAGCAAACACCAGCTCTCTTAATTTTTCCTTGCAGTGGGCGTTTGTCATGGTCCGTGGAGCACAGTGTAGCCAGGCATCCTTTTTCCATCATGGTTCCGTAGAAAAGGGACAGGAGCCTCAGCATAGCCAGTGCTCAATTCACAGCATGTCCATCCTGAAACATGAAGAGCTTGATATTTCTGGTCATAAATCAAACGAGGAGTGAACTCCCCAGCTTCCCATTCACACAAATTTTAAAATGTCATGAAAAGCACTCCCAACGCAGAGGCCACCCAAGAAGAGGGGAAGATAGACACTGAAGGAAGTCTGGAATCAAGCATGTGAATTTTTCTGTGCATCAGATAAAATAGACCCATCTTTCTCTTAAATTTGTATCTCTCTTTTAATTACAGTTGAAAGTCAGTGTTATTTTTATAATATAATAGTTCCAGGTGTACAGCATGGTGCTTAGGCAATCATATATTTTACAAAGTGTTCCCCCGGTGCCCACCTGGCACCGTACGTAGTTATTGCAGTATTATGGACTGTATTCCCTATGCTGTACTTTACATCCCGGTGACTATTGTGTAACTACCAATCTGTACTTTTCCATCCCTCCATTTTTTTTCATGCAGCCCCCCAACTCAGCCCCCTCCCCTTCTCTGGCAACCACCAGTCTGTTTGTATATTTCTTAAAGGATTTACTTGAAAGCATATTGTGGTCCAGATTTATCAGGAAGTCATGGGCGCGTCTTGAACTTGAGCTGATGTGAGGACCCCACTGAGGGCTTGTTAAGCACCCCCTGCTGGGCCGTACCCCTGGGTGATGCTTAGGTTTGAGGGGAGCCTGAAACCGTGCATTTCTAACCTCCTCCAGTGGCCCCTGTGTGCGTCACACATACCTTGATCCCCTCAGCCTGAAATGTCACCCTTCCTTCTTTCCTCAAGACAAATCGGACCTATCTTCAGGGTCTAACTTTGTTTTCACCTTCAGAAAACTTTCTCTAGTCCTCTTGTCTACAGGAAGAATAGGAAAATATTGCCTTCTAGTAGTGTTAGTTAATATTTACCCTTTAGTGTTATTTAATAGTTACATGTATGTGTATGTGTACCTATATGTCTGTATCAAATCTCATTCTGCCTGCCTGCCTATCTGTCTTAGTCAATTCGGGCTGCTATAGCAAAAAATACTTTGATTGAATGGATTGTAAACAACAGAAATTTATTTCCCGCAGCTGTGGAGGGGGGTGTTGCCAGGTTCTGGTGAGAGCCCTCTTCCACAAACCACTGGCTGCACTCCTCTTGCAAGGACACTGATTCCACTCGTGAGAATTCCCCTCTCATGACCTCAGCTAATCCTGATCCCCTCCCCAAGGCCCTGTCTCCTCACTGGAGGGGGGGGGGAGAAAGCTGGGGGGCACAAACATTCAGTCCATAGTACTCTCTAACCTTTCCCTCACGCCAAGACAGAGTATAAAGTTCGTAATGATAGACACTGGGGCTTATACTCTGAACATTTCAGTGATATTGATGTCATTATCAATACACATATCCCATCTTAATAATGATGTGTTATTAAATAAAACTTTTCTTTTGGGAATCTAATTTCTTTCTGTATGTCACTGAATGTCTCTTAGGCAACTATGTTTGGTGTCTGATCCATATTCCTCTTTTGTAAACATCAAAAAACTCCTCGTCCTGAAATGGCCCAGCATTAATCTCACCATTTTCTCTTTATAGCCTTTCTCTTTGTTTCCTTAGCTTTTGTAAATTTAGTTTTCATTGAGTGTGTAGTGGTGTGTTTTTGTTTTTTTGTAATCCATTAACTCTGCATACCAGCTGTACAGTATGAAATATAGTTGCATCTGAGTAAATGCTGATTAAGATCCCTTTTAATAAACCCAATGTAGCTGTGGGGCCAATAAAAGCCTGCTCGGGGCTCAAAAAGGAGGCAGTGCGTGGGCTGCCTGCGGACACTCTTTTCCAGAACTTCCACTTGCCTTATTGCAGGTCATGACAAGGGGAGCCCAGATGTTTGTGATCACATCTGGGACCCCGGTAGCTCTGCGGCACTGAAACACCGTGACCCCAGCCACTGGAGAGCCAATTGGCAGAGGAAACCCACAGCAGCCGAGAAGCTGATGTATAGGCGGCGCTGTGGCCGCTGACAGGTGGAGAACAATACAGCAGAATTGGGTTTCTTGGGTCTCTGCTGATGTTGATGACTTGCGGGTGTTATTCATTGCCTTCCGTCAGTCTGCAGCTATTACCTGTACGCTCAGCGAGGTGAGAGGTGACTTTGTGGCCTGTGAAGAATCGCTGGCTCAGTCTCCTTGGAGGACATGACATCATAGGTCAAGGTATTTCCAATGTTCCCAGGTCATTTCCCCCCCAATAAAGTAGTTCCCTTTATAAACGGGGTTTCTTCCACTGTTAAGCGAAGGGGCAGGTCCTTGGCATGTAATCCTGTTAAGTTCCTTACCGTGGAAGAAAACCTTTTTTACGTAACACTGGGCATTGTTTCCAGTTTCCTCCACAGATTTCCCCTGAGAAGGAAGACTGCCTTTTCTGCAGGCGGCTCCCGTGCTTGGGAAGCTCTGAGTTGCTGGAGATGTTGGTGCCCCGGGCGCTCTGGGAAGCCAGGAGGGGGCGTGGATGAGAGGCATGGCCTGGTGTATCCGGGATGCCCAGGTATTCCTGCTGCCTCTCTCCCAGGGGGTGCCCTGAGCTGCTTCGAGGCAGAGATGTCTGTCCACCCAGACTTGACGTTAGTGGCTTAGAATCCTACTCGCCTGGACAGCCTGTGCTGGCACCCCTGGGCTGTGTGTGCTGTGACTTCCTTTAGACTGGGCACACAGTGACTTGGCACGTCACATCACTTGATGTTGCTTCCACAGTTGCTTTTTAGGAAGTTGGTGGATTTTCCCAGGAAATAGCAAAGTGCCCCTTACACTTGATTTGTGGCTTAGTGTTCTACAAGTCACAAATGATTTGTTTAAAGTTCAGAACAACAACAAAAAATAGTCTTACATATTTAACATCTGTGAAATCTGGCTCACAGCTAGAAATCATAAGGTGGCAGCAGTTATAAGCAAACGTTGTGCTCACCTCCCCTTTCCCTCCCCTCCCCCACTTCAGGGAGGGTGTCTCAGCCCATCCCTCCTCCCCCTTGCTGCTCCAACCCTTTTGCCAGGGGCAGTCAGTTCACCCTGTCAGTTGATGGCTTATGTTTTTATCTCTTTTATTACAATTATTGTTTGAAGAGCAAACGGGGAGTTTATATTCTAAAACTTTTTTTTTTTT